AGAATGCCTGAAGGGTTTTCGAGATCGAGGTTTCGAGTTCAAAAGGTTCTTGTAGGGCATTGAACAAACAGAGCGGTAATGTCGAGGGTTACAGATTTCTACTTAGTGCTGTTGAAGGGTACGGGTTCAGCAAACGGTTAGCGTCTAAGTCATAGGATTGCTGTAACAAGTTTTGAGAGTTAAAGGGTGTGGTTTTGAGGGTGCGCCTGAAACCACCATAAACTCTCTTTGCAGGTCCTACAAGTAATTACGAGCCCTAATATTATGTATAGGGACTCCTTATTGCGAGCCCTTGTATTATTTTTGGGGACCCTAACCGGGACCCTACAAAAACGTAGTTTTTTTGTGCGTTAGTTGCAGTAGGTGTGTACGGTTGGACTTGGGAGGGCTCCGGGGGTGCACAATTTGGGTTTAGGGTTGTAGGGTTTAGAGTTTAGGGATTAGAGTTTTAGGGTTTAGAGGTTTAGGGTTTTAGGGTTTAGGGTTGTAGGGTTCATGAGGAACGACAGACCGGATGCAAAAAAGGGTTGTAGGGTTTTAGACAATTTGTCCTGCCGAAGGGCTTACCTAGTGTCTCCATTGTAATTCCTTTTTGGGGTTACCTTTTAGGATCCTTAATATAAAACTGGTTGGTTAAACCAAAAAAGGAACTACAATGGAGACGATAGTATAGGTAAGGCTTAAGGCATCGTTTGGGAACAGGTGTAGAGTTGGGGCTCCGAGAGTTGAGCGCTAGGGTGGGGTTATGGGGGCTTGCGAAATTTGGCTGTACCGTATTTTGGAGTCCTTATAATAAGGATCCTACTAGTAAGGGTGCTATACTTGGGTCCCCTATTTTCGGAAACCGCCTTATGGGTGGTTTGTCAAAATGTTGGTCCCTTTTTGGGTGCCCTAAATATTAGGTGCCGTACTATAATAGGGACCCAAAAAGGGGCCATAATTTTGACAACCAGCGTTATGTTGTTGGGAAGCAGTGCTTCGGAGTGCCGGGCTTTGGTTTGTTTGGGAACGCTTTGGGCAGGGCGCAGGGTCAGAGCTTAGGGTTTGGGGATGTTTTGGGTGGGCGTGGCCTTTATCCCAATGCTGCATCGCAACGTTTCCCTCTAAACCTTGCCAAGTAGGAGGGAAAAAATCCCAAACCAACTCCTGTCATAAACCTCCTAACAGGACGCCAACATCTGTGAAACGCGGGTGTCCGTGTTCCAGACTGCCAGTTTTCCAGCTTCGAATGAGCGCATCCGCACTAGCAAGTGCCGTTGCGACTCTACACGCCCTACATCAGGTAAAGGTACTGGGCCGATCTGGACCCTACACAGAGCGCCTTTACATCTAAAGTCCTGACATAACGTTTGCCCACTCATTTTGTGCTGAGGGATGGGCCAGCTGCTGTGCAGGCTGTTCCCGAGCATGCCAGGTTTGTTTAGAGTCACGGGATTTCTTAGATCTTTTGGGCTGTTTAGAGTTCAGCGCAAAGGCCGTACTGTCTTCGGCTTTTGTTCATATATTGAGCTTGATCAGAACCCTCAACCTTAAGATTGTAAAGGTAGCAGATGCAGGGGTTTCCAGTTTAGATCTCTACTGGCCGTTCGGATGGGTCCCTGGCCGAGGTTTCAAGGTTTGTAGGGCGTAGCTCAGTTTGGCAGTCTTTGTACAGTAAGAACAAATTCAGGGTGTCGGGTTTCAGCGTCTAAAAAATTCTAAAATGCGCCGCATCCCAATCTAAACCCCGCCCGAATGAGAACTGCGCTACGCCCTGAACCCTAATAGCCAGTAGAACTGCAAGTCAGCACTTTTCTGAAGCTTTTGCTCCCAACCCACGACTCAACCTAAACCATTCCTTTTGCATGTGTGAATCAAACCTCTGCAGCGCTGATCCAAACATGCGACCTAGAGCAACTTGAGGAGTTTGAAGGTTCCGCAAGGATCCCTCTTTGCGTAGTCGAGACACCCTGAGGCCAGAGATGTTGAAAAGGATCCTAAATACAATACTGGTTGACAAAGGAATTAGGATGTAGAACATGGGTAGGTTCGAAGAATACAAAGGATATGGAACGCTAAGCCCTGCACTCTTAACCAGGTGGGCGATTAGCCAAGCGCCTCCTCTTGCGCTGCAAGTAGGACAGCCGCTGCTGGCTTGGGGTTTAGGGACTTTGGATTTTATTTTCAAGCTTATTCGGCGCTGTTGGCTAGAATGAGGGAAATGACGGCGAAACATATCTCCAATCCCTCACGTGTGGGGTCTTATGTAGGTCTCGAAGTTACACTCAACCCGAGCCCCTTGTTGAAAGGTTTTTGGTCGGATGCCCGAACTACTTCAGGACTTCAGGGCGCTGTCCCTCACAGTTCAGCTGATGAGATTTAGACGGGAGGAGGGGACCTGCAACAATCGAAGATGGTGGCGATAGGGCGGAGAGGAGGATGAATGATCGTGCAGCAGCCACATGCAACACTAGCAGAAGTGTTAGAGGCAACACCTAAACTAAAGCAAGCCTTCTGAAGGCGCACCCATGCACGTGAGGAATCGATTTGGGCAGCATCGTGATGGTAGAGCTGCCAAACACACACCAGCTGTCCTATTTCGGTGCCTTGGGCAGACTGTTGGATTCCTTCTTGTTGCCTTCGGATCTTGGGCTGAGGGTTTAGAGGGATTTAGGGTTTGGGGTGTGTAGAGTTTTAGGGTTGTGTGAGCAAGTGTGAGCATAAATAGGCTAACTGGTTTAAGTTCGTTTGTTTAGGTTTGCATGGTTGAAAGTTTAGGGTGGCTCGGGCTAGATCTGCTTGAGTTCATAGGGCTGTCGGGTTTTGTGGAGACTTAAGACATTCTTGTTTAACTTTGGAAGGTGACGGGGTTGTTCCAAGCCTATTTGAGAACAACCTTCTTGGTTTGTACGTAGGGCCGTAGGCGTACAATGAGTTTTGCAGGACTTGACGAGACGTAAGAGTTTTGCGATTTCGTGTTTCTAGCTGGGGGTGTGAATCAGAGCAGATAGTGGAGCTCTTCGAATGTCGGTCAGTATTCAACCCCACGCTTCTTTCGGGTGCTTTTGAGGTAAAGGAGCACCGACGCAGACTCACAGACAACAAGACCTACCTAACCAATGGTTTTGGGGTTCCCTTGGCTCTTTAGCTCCTTATTAACTAGGGGATTATCATCACCCCTGGCTCCTTAGCTCCTCCAATATCAATGATTAGCTACTGCACAAACGTTCTGAAGCCATAACTTGCTTGTTGGCACGCTGTCTGGATGTCGGCAGAAGCTTCAGCACGCGGTAGCACTTCCTGCTAACATCAAAACCAAATTTCCCTCAAACTCGAAGCCCAGGGCATCGAGTGCCCCGGAAATATGGAAGTTTCCGAAATTAGGGTACCTTACTTTATAAGGATCCGTCTATTTAGGCCTGCTATATTAGGGTCCCCTATTTTGGGTAACTCCCATATGGAATACTCATTGCTGGATTGTAGAGGGACCCTCAGCATGTTTCTGGAGAATACTTGCCTTGGGCTCTGTGGGGTACAATGAAGGAGGCTGAACAAGTATTTGGTAATAGTATGATTCTAGGCTCCTTCATGAAAGTATACTACAGTATACCCTTATGTTGAGTCTCCAACCCCAACTGCAGATCCCCCTTAACCCGATAAAGATGTAGACGATAGTCATGAAGACTTACCTTTTGAGTCCTAAGGTCTTACGCAGTGGAGTAGCAAAAGTATCCGAATGCCTTGAGCAGCACAACCTCAGGCACTGCCGTCGAAGGCGCACGCCGTCTGGCTGAGCCTTGGTTGTAGATTGCAGTCTTGGGTTAAGGTTTAGGGTTTAGGGCAGTTTAGGGTTTATAGAAGGCTTTTGACAATACAATACGCGCAACCCTGATTTTGAAACCTGTCGCAGGTCCACTTTATGTCTTGAGCAATGTTTCCTGGGTTTGTGATTGGGTTTTGTTTCGCCATCTTGAACTCAGCGACTTGAGATAGCCTTGGCTTGAGCCTCACAGTGTGGTTTCGGGGTCGGGAATTCCAGCACAGCTTTCCTAGTGATGGCTAGCCATGACATGTTTGTGAGAATGATGATGATGATGGTTATGGTTATGATGATTAGGAGGCTCATGAGGACGAAGAGGCGGAGGATGACGATGCTGATGCTTATGCTGCTGCTGCCTCCGATGGTGATGATGATGGTGGTGGTGGTGGCGCTGCGATGGTTTTGTCGATTTCGGTGATGGTTGTCATCAGCTGACGGTGATTATGGGGCTGTTGTCGGTTGCGGTGACGGTCATGGTGATGAATACAGTAATACAGTGATGGAAAAAGTTAATGCATGGTGCTTATCACATTGTTAGCAATGGCGACCGGACGAGCACGGTGACGTGAAGTAATGATTGCGAGCGGACGCTGTAGTCGCCTCAACCATCATCGCCGTCTTTTTTCACTGCTGCCAAAACCGAATGTGAATAGCTAGTGAGCAGCTAGTGTTTTCTGTTCATTCAACCGATCGTTCTGCTCCAGTGCAAGCCCTGGCTCTATGCTCAAGATTCAAGATTCCACTACGAGCACCACTGAAGCAACCGAGGCCGTGCCGGACGTAATGTACAAGACATGCGTTGATTGATGGCATGTCCTTGCGGCTTATAGGATTTAGGGTTTGTGCTTTAGTGCTACGGCTTGGCGCGATGCTGCTTCTTTCTGTCACTTTCCGGCTTCCCAAGCCCGGAGGCAAAACGGGTCTGTGCGGTCATCCATGTCCCGACCCTCAATGGAGTGCACAACACCTGCAAGCACAAAATTAATAATAACATGCTAGTTTTATGCAGCATATCAAGAGTAGGATATGCTGTGCTGCTTTCGCGTAGCTCAGCACACCGTTCGCAGTAAGTGAAAGCAGTCTAGATTTGAGGTCAGCTTCGGAGGCAGAACGCCATGGTTCCGCATCGTCCACCAGCATTTTGAACAGAGGAGATTGCCGGCAGTGGTTTCATTCCGGAAGCGGCGCGGAGTTTTGGAGCATGTTGCGTGTTTGGACACCAGCAGGTGACGAGATTGTCACCATGCCCGTGGGGGAGGGGATCGACGTGAGCTCATTGAAGAAGCAGCTCCAGAAGTTTTGTGGTGTTCCTCGGTTTAGACAGAGGCTTCTGCGGGAATCTGCGGTGCTGGAGGATGATACAAAGTTGTCGTCTCCAGCAGACTTACAGCTAGTATTGCTCCCCTTTGCAGATGTTGACATTTCGCAAGTCACGAGCATCGTCAGCGCCGCGCAGAGCGGACGCGCCTCCGCAGTTGAAGAGATGTTGAATCTTCCACTGAACCCTAGCCTCGGGGATCATCAGTCAAGAACAGCTCTTCACGGAGCATGTGAGCATGGCCACATGGATGTGGTGCAACTGTTGCTGGAGTCTGGTTGTGACACGAATGCCACTGACAACAGGGGCAGGACAGCTCTACACCTGGCATCTGGAAACGGCTATGTGAAGATCTTGCGCTTGCTGGTGCAGTCAGAGGCAGACATGAACTTAGGAGACGCTTAGTAGGCCATTGGCAAAAGTTCGAATATTTACCGTTAACGGGAGTTTCAGGCGATTCTCGACGACTGGGAAACCCTAACTGGCCTTGGAACCCTAAAACCTAAACTCCCTAAAGTCTAGGACGGACAAAAAATACTCTAAACCCTACACCCTTGAACCCGAGAACCTCGCCTGGCATGTCCGAGTTGTGAGAGCGTAAACCCTTGAATGCGCCTTTCAACGGCATCCAGGATTGCCATGGCAACACAGCTCTGCATGTGGCATCTTGTGAAGGTCAGCTGAGCTCCGTTCGAGCCCTGTTTCTGGGCTCTTGCTAAAATGTTTAGCACTTGGAGGTTCATGTGTAGTGAGAAGTGGGGTTTTGTATCTAAAGTAGGTATACTACTTATCTGGCCGGCCCTTAAGGAAGTCTTTCAAAGTCTTTTTGATTTTCTGAGACTGCGCCTGACAAAGGGCTGGGCGGGGCATTGTTTAAATCAGAAAATTGCAGGAAGGCAATGACTCCATTGATCCAGTATTGCAGAGAGATACGTGTACGGGGACCCCACGACTGTATCGCCAGTCACAGTGGTGTGACCCCATGGATCGTTGAAGGACCTGACTCGAACACTCGAGCACTGACGTCTCGCCATGCTTCTGTACACAGGTGTGTTTGTGTTTGTGTTGGCTCAAACCCTCCCTCCCAACCTGCCCCATCACCCCCCCCCCCCCGGCTTCATAGGGTTGCCGTTTGCGCATGGGGGTGGTTTCGTTTCAGGATGTTTTCAAGGTCGTTTAGGACACATGCATATGCCCCTCATATGCCTAGGTCCCCAAACTTTTGGGAAAACCGAACTTAAGGTTTAGAGCGCCTTGCTCTCCAAGACAGGGGTCGGCGGGCATGTAGGGTTTGGGGCCCAGCGTTTAGTTTGACTGGGCTTCGGGTTTAGGTTAGTGCCAAGCTGAGGCTAGGTGGCCCAACCTTGATGGCATCCACACTGGGTTTTCCGGCCCGTCCAGTCAGAAAGTTCCAACCTTGGAACATAATGCCAAAATTGGAATTTGCACGACCGTACAAGTAGTGCAGAAAGAAGGAAGTTGCTGCGACCTTTCCAGCATGGCAGATCGAGAGAAACTGCAATTACTACGACCGCTCCAGTATTGCAGAGAGATACGTGCACGGGGACCCGCGACCGTATCGCCAGTCAGTGTTGCGATCCCATGGATCGTCGAAGGACCTGAATCGAACACTCCCCATGCTTCTGTATGCAGGTTTGTGTTGGCTCAAACCCTCCCTCCCAACCTGCCCCACCCCCCCCCGCTTCATAGGGTTGCGGTTTGCGTGTCGTTTCAGGGTGTTTGCAGGCTGGTTTAGGACACATGCATGTGCCTGGGTCCCCATTTTGTCGGGGAAACCGGGCTTAGGGTTAAGGCAGGGGTCGGCGGGCAGCTAGGGTTTAGGGTCCAGCATTTAGCTGTATTTCGTTTTTTGGTCCCCTAATCAGGGGAAGCTGAGCTTCGGGTTTAGGTTAGTGCTAGGCTTAGGTTAGGTTGTTTCCCCCCCTTTCACCGGGTGCCCCCCCACCTCCAAGCATAATGACGTCCATATCATCCATGGCCCAACTTTGATGACATCCATATATTGGGTTTTGAGAGAGAGAGAGAGAGAGAGAGAGAGAGAGAGAGATTGATTGATTTTTAGAGAAACAGAGAAGTTGCAATTACTACAACCCTTCAAGTATTACAGACAAAGAAACTGTAACTATTGCGGCCCCTCCAGCATTGCAGAAAGAGAGAAACTTCAATTACTACGACCCCTCCAGTATTGCAGGGATAGAAACTGCAAGTACTAGGACCGTTCCAGTATTGCACAAAGACAAAGGCAATTTTTTCACCTTAGCCCCCGGCACAGCAAGCGGACGAAATCGTCCGTTTTCCGAGGCGTGGGCGCGGGAACCCCCCGCTCAGCGAGCGGACGAAATCGTCCGTTTTCAGAGGCGCCGGCGCAGAAACCCCCCGCTCAGCGAGCGGACGAAATCGTCCGTTTGCCGAGGCGTGGGCGCGGGAACCCCCCGCTCAGGGAGCGGACGAAATCGTCCGTTTGCCGAGGCGTGGGCGCGGGAACCCCCCGCTCAGCGAGCGGACGAAATCGTCCGTTTGTCGAGGCGTGGGCGCGGGAACCCCCCGCTCAGCGAGCGGACGACATCGTCCGTTTGCCGAGGCGTGGCCGCGGGAACCCCCTGCTCAGCGAGCGGACGAAATCGTCCGTTTGCCGAGGCATGCGCACGGGAACCCCCCGCTCAGCGAGCGGACGAAATCGTCGTCCGTTTGCCGAGGCGTGGGCGCGGGAACCCCCCGCTCAGCGAGCGGACGAAATCGTCCGTTTGCCGAGGCGCCGGCAACCCCCGCTCAGCGAGCGGACGAAATCGTCGGCAAAGTCTTTTTGGTCAGTCAGTAGCCGGTCTTAAATCCTGGTGGCTTGCTGAGGCGAGGGCTCCGGAGCCCTTGCCTCAGCGAGCGGACGCCAATGTCCGGTTGCTGAGGCGGGGGTTCCCTATGGTTTCTGGTTTGCTAAGGTGAGGGCTCTGGAGCCCTCCTTTCAGCAAACCAGAAACCATAGGGAACCCCTGCCTCAGCGGACGGACGCTAATGTCGGCTTGCTGAGGCGAGGGCTCCGGCGCCCCTGCCTTAGCGGACCAAAGATGATTTGAAATCCTATTTTGCAAATGGCAGTGGCTCTTAGGGAAATCCCTTTGAGGCTGCCAGAAAAGGCGGTGGGATTTTGGCTTCAGGGCCCCAAACCCGGCCAGTGGGGACCGCAGCATCCGGGCCTGCGAACGCTTCCCGGGACTGCGGACGCCAAAAGCTGTTGTAATCGTTCAAGGGCCGGGTTTCCAGGGCTTCCAAAGCTTCAAAATGCAGGGATTGTCGGGTTTCCAATGCCCCCCGGCCTTCGGGAACGTTTTATCTGCCTAAATCCGACCAAAATATCAAACTGGAAACGTCGTAAGCAGTCGTCGTGTAGTAAACAATAAACCCTAAACTTAACCTAAAAACCCTAAGACCTTAAACCTTTATAAGCCCACCAGTCTATAATTAGTATTAGCTTGAAAAAGCTAAGAATTCACTAGACGATGAGGTAGCCGACAGCCTGCGCGAGAAATCCTTAGTCTTATGGTCGTCAACCGCGTTGCTTGAATGTCTTTGATGCCTTGCGTGTGGCTTGAAGCGGTGGATGCGATAGCTCTTTTCTCTGTAGCGTTTTGTCTGTTCCTTGGGCGTCTGTTCTCCTCGATCTAACGATGCCTCTGCAAGGACGGGCTTGCGATGGGGCCAATGAAGATCACCAAATCTGCAGTGGAAGATGCCTACTCGCAGCTTTGGTGCTTCTCCTCATTGTTGTACAAACCCAATTTGCCCATGCCAAGGTTGCAGTATGTTGCAGTACTTGACGCTGACGATCTCCAAAAAAAAGACTGGCGCCAGACGGATGCCAAGGACGAGGACATCATGGTTTTGAGCGAGAGACGTCCAAGAATCCGTCGCCTGTTCACTTGCCCGGGAAACCGTCTGTTCCGTGTGAAGCCCGGTCCAACTCGTCCTCACCCTCGCCAAGCGAAGCTAATTGCGCCGTCGACGATCCTTTTGAAGATGGCCACCGCCGCCCCGGTCCAGAAGAGGATGTAGATTCTTGTAGAGCACGTGGGCAAATCTTCCAACCCCAAGGCAAAGGCTGTGGCAAAAGGCATGTTGTGCACTGTGTGATGATGTGGGCAGATCCTTCCGCCGCAAAGCAATGGCTAAAGCTGCGGCAACAAACAAAGCTAAATCGAAGGCTAAAGCTGTGGCAAAATCCAAAGCCAAAGCTGTGGCCAAGGGCAAAGCCTTCCCTTTTGCAAAGGCCAAAGCCCGTACGTAGGCCAACTTGACTGGAGCTTGAGCAGTATATGGTCAAAAATGTAGTGCACTATGTGAGTGATGAGCGTGACAGCTTCTGACCCTAAGTGTTATACAAAAAAGTTTCTTGATGAGGATACCGACTCTGAATGAGTCCCGTAAGGGCCAACCGCTTTCAGTGAACGATGCCTACTCGCAGCTTGGCGCTTCGCCGCATTGTTGTACGAAACCCAAATTTGCCCATGCCAATGTTGCAGTAAGTACTTGACGCTGACGATCTCAAAAAAAAGACTTGTGCCAGACGGATGCCAAGGACGAGGACATCATGGTTTTGAATGGAAGAGAAGACGTCCAAGACTCCGTCGCCTGCTCACCCACTCGCCCTCGAAACCGTCTGTTCCTCGTGGAGCCCGTCTCGACTCGTCCTCACCTTGCCAAGCGAAGCAGATAGCGAAGCTAATTGCGCTGTCGACGAGCCTCTTGAACATATGGCCACCAACGTTCTGGTCCCAACCCCAAGGCACAGGCTGTGGCAAAATGCAAAGCCAATGCCAAAGCGAAGCTGCATGTTGTGGATTGCGTGATGATGTGGGCAGATCCTCCGCAAACAAAGCCAAAGCCAAAGCTGTGGCAAAAGCCAAAGCCAAAGCTGTGGCCAAGGGCAAGGCCTTCCCTTTCACAAAAGGCCAAAGCCCGTACGTAGGCCAACTTGACTGGAGCTTGAGCAGTATATGGTCAAAAATGTAGTGCACTATGTGAGTGATGAGCGTGACAGCTTCTGACCCTAAGTGTTATACAAAAAAGTTTCTTGATGAGGATACCGCAGAGTTGACGGCTCGGAAAATCAAAAAGACTTCAAAAGACTTCCTTAAGGGCCGGCCAGTTATATTCCTACTTGTAACTAGCCATGAACCTCCAAGGGAATACTGTCAAGGTCTTACAGAATTTATAAGGGATGTATAAACGTTGGTATAGGCTGTTGATGAAGGCACTTATATAGTTCAATTGCCATATTTGGGATAAATGAGTTAAATGATATGCTGGCACGGACCCTTATAGTTAGGCCTACTGCGGCCCCGTAACTCCCCTCCCCCTTACCCCTGTATATAAGGGTCCTTATGAATGATGAACCTAGGCTTCCGTTTGAACTTCAAGCTTAAGTTCTCCAGCCCTAAACCCTAGTATAGGGGTCGAAATAATTACAAAGATTGTTCCTTAGGGCTCCTTGTTATATTTATAGTATAATATACCCCAAAACCCTATTCTAATCATTAAATCCCCTATAGTGGGCCCCAACACCTAAACAAGAACCCAGGCTTCAGTCAGGCATACACAAGGACTCGGTCGACAGCTCCGGCCGTACTGCGCTGCATGATGCATCTCAGAGTCTTGGAATAGGGTTCCTTTAAAGGTTCCTTTTAAAGAGGTTTGTACGGATTACTATAAGGGGTAATATGGGGGGGGTTTAGTATAGGGGCCTTGGTAATCAGAATAGTGTTTTGGGGTATATTAATCTCAGAGTCTTGGATCCTCTTACCCATAGGATCCATAGTAGTTCCTTTTGGGGATTACAATAGAATGCTTAATATGATCTCCCAAAATATGGAGCCTATGGGTAGGGTTTATGGTTTGGGGTTTCGGGTTTAGGAGCAGTCTTACTATGCCTAAGATCGTTATCTGGCACAGCAGTAGTAGATGCAGCGCATGCTTCGTCGACGGAGGACTCTGGGTAGTGTGTTTTTTTGTCGTCGCTTCCACATAGCCACTGCATCACATTATGATCGCGGACGGTCTCGCTTCTATTACCAAACGTAGTGCCATTACTTGCTGGGGTTTATTCCGATGTTCAATACGTGCAGGGGGTTGTGGCTTTACTTTGTACTATTCATATGTTTCTTCATGCTGTTGCTGCCAAGCTTGTATTTCAAGCCCTTCGTCTGGTTGCTAAAGTCAGACAACCCACGAAAATCAGGGTTTACTCAAATTTTGGGACTTTCCGAAAATGGGGGGACCCTAATATAGTACCCTAGATAGCTGGATCCTCATTGCAAGGACCCCAAAACAAGCTAGCCCTAATTCTCGGAAAGCACTACTGTACCTATAGTCTCCATTGTAGTTCCTTTTTGGGAATACCTTTTAGGATCCTTAATAGACAATTGGTTAAAGCAAAAAAAGGAATTACAATGGACCCTAAACCCTAAACCCTAAACCCTAAACCCCTAAACCCTAAACCCTAAACCGTGCTTCATCGACTGTCGAGTTGCGAGCTTTCTCAGGCAGGCGCGCAGAACCGCACACTGTGTAAACCTTGACGTAAGCGGCCCCTGTAGTAAATCCTGATAGTGGCCCTTATAGTAGCCCTTATAGACACCAACCTTCAAAATGGGATAGCTAATTACCCCTAGGAATGCCATAGGTAATCATTAAGTTTAAGGCTCCTACATAATTCGACCAGGAACGGCCACATTGCCACTGTCCGTCTCCTCCTGGATGCTGGCGCTTCCCGGGATGTGGAAGACGAAGACGGCCTGACAGCTGCGACCTTATTCGGCAGGTTCTGCTTCGGTCACATGGACGACGTCTTCAAGTTCCACTGAGGACTATTTCCGAACGGGAGACTGGATTGTAGGACCATGTCGCATTAACCTGACCCCTCGAAGACTAGATTCGTGAGGGCTTCGGCCTGCATGGTTTCTGACTTGAACAAGATGTGTCCGAGTTGCGATGGCGGAACCCATCGTGGCACTTGGAAGCGTCTCACCCAAGGTCCGACTTAGAGAGCCCAATATCCCTCAGTCAGGGACTGTGCTTTAAGTTAGATAGGGGGCTTTCAATCATCACCATCACCATCATCATCACCGCTATATACACGCTCTGGATGCAACGGCAAACATGTATGTATGTAGAAGTACGTAAGGACAACATGTGACATTGGGCTCTCTGGGGACGTGCTGGTCCGATCAGGGGCTGTTTAAAATCGGTTTCCCGAGGTCTCATATCACCTAACCCCAAGGGTCCATGTAATTAGGTAGGACATACTACATATCGGGTTGCTAGGTTATATGTCGTATGGTTGGCCACCTACTACTGTTGATGATGTAAATCCAGCATTACCTTAAGGACCTTAAACTATGGGGAAATGCCATATTCCTTGTTATGGGATTTATATCATCAACCGTATTTGGGTAACTGGTGCCCTGACGCTTTCTGGTTCCTGCACCGTTTCATACTGCGTGTTGGGGAGTCATTTTGTCTCCTGATGAAGTAACGGATTGTGTAAGTAATACATCTTTTCTGATGCAGGATTTGGGCCTGTGTTCAGAATACATATAGCGAATATGGGGGCTGTATAGTCCCTATGTATTATTCCTTAGGGTTCACCACTAGAAATTATATTGTTTTGCTATTACAACATTCCCCAAGACTTATTGTAATTACGCATCTCTCCCATGCAGATTACCGTGATATAGGTTCCTGTCCCAAAAGCAGCGATACCCTGCTTGTAAACACGCGTAGGGTTCAGATTCAGGGTCCCGTTTCCTGAAGTCTCAGCCCAGTACCTATAGTCTCTATTGTAGTTCCTTTTTTGGTTGAACCAATTTATATTAAGATCCTAAAAGGTAACCCCAAAAAGGATTTACATGTGAGACTATAGGTAGAATGTCAGGTTGTTTCATCCCTGGAGGTTTATGCAGTTTGTATCGGATTTCGCAGGGCTTTCGGGTTGAGAGGCCCCGAAATTCCGACATGACGAATTTCAAGCACTGTGGGGTTTCGGGTTCAAGAGATGTTATCTTCAAGGGCATAGGTTTGGGGGGTCTAAAGTGCAGTTTTGAGTGTTCTTGATAACCTCGAACCCTAAACAACACCCTAAATCCGACTCAGGCGGATAGTTCGTGACAGTTTCCCCCTACTCAAAAGCCCCTAAACCGATTCCAATCCCATCTGCCGTCTCGAACCTAGACTCTAGGCCATGAATCCAAGCCAGAATTTCGTCTCATGAGAGTTGTATTTCACGCGCTGGCGACGTCGTCGTAATTATTGCTTGAGAACCCGACAGACATTGCAGTCGCATCTAGACTCTTAAGTGCTTGCACTCGAAATGTTTTCTTTGCAATCCCGCATCTTGCCATCATAGTTCAAAGCCCGAAACCCCAGTGGTACCTGGACCATGTTACTACTGCTGCTGCTCGAAGTGCAATCCCGAAATCCAAGAACAGAAATGACGTCCACAAGCTGTTCGTAATATTATACAGTTCTTTTTCGATTATGAAATCTGTTCTTATTTGGATTTTTGAGGCCAACATTGATATTAGGATTACGGTTGTTGCTACACCCATGGCTGTGAATGTTATTGTTTCGTCTTTATGCTTCTCACTCTCAGGAGACATCGCTCAAAGACTGCACCGTGCACATTTCCGGAAGCGTGAGGCCGAAACTGATTTCATAAACAGGTGCTTACATGGCGTACTTGGAGTTTCTTGGGACTTCGTACAGTTATACGTAGTTAATGCTCGTTTTCATAAACATGTGCTTAAATCGCTTACTTGGAGGTTCATGGGACTTCGTAAGTACAGTGATGCGTACCTTAATTGGGGTCATAGGTAATTACAAGTATACTCTCAGTTGTTATGACCCGAGATACTAAGTACTTGACGCAATTGCTTGGGTACTGCTCCCACCCTGTAACGGTCTGTATTTCGTGTCATATTAAGGGCTATATATACTCATGTTACACTTGTTAGCAAGCTGCTAGAGAGTGCGGGCAGTACCCAACTTATGGCCTTTAGTCGAACATTACTCGCAGGCCCCGACAATTTCCCATTGATGGGCTGTAATTCTCAGGCATGCTAATACGGGGAAGGACCCAAGGTGTGGGAGTCAATGTGTCTTAAAGCTTGAGGACGTTTGTGCTTTCAGGGCTGGTGGAGTGTAGGAGGTCTTTGAGGTTTAAGGTTTAGACGGTATGGGTTCTTGCGTGTCGGCCTCAGTCAAGATGACTGCAAGCCATGGCCCGGCTCCAGTAGCGAAGGGGTTCGGTGAGAGAGGCACCGCACCAAAGGATCCTCCAAAGGGGGCTCCCTCTTCAACGGGCAAAAATCAAGGTCCAGCACTGAACCCGTAACATACTCAAGTAAGGTTTTCTTGTGCTTGCTAAGGCCCTCTGGCAGCAAGCGGCTTCCGGGGAGGGTTGAGTTGTTGTGAAAGTTGGGAGGCTTGCAGAGTTGGCGGGGAGCGGAACACGAAAGCCAAAACTACCCCGGCCTTCCACCATACCCCGGAACGAAAACACAAAAACAGGCTCAGCAGGGGTAGTTTGGGGGATTAGCCAAAACATTATAGGGCCAGCCAGCTAACAAGATCCCAGGTAGAATTGCAATCTGGTTGTCCTTTGTGGAGGCCTCCTAAACAAAGGCAGATCAACAAAGAAGCCTTTTTTGAAGCTGTGAAACAACTGTCTGAACTGGCTTGTCCACTCGGCTTAAAATCGCAGTTTTGAGCACAGGTATTGGTTATCGTCCTGTTGGGGGTTCTCTACATTTGGGATCCTTTCTTGGTCCTTAAATGAGATATCTCACCCCGATAACAGGGGTCCAGATAGCATCCTCACTTTGAGAATGTCCTCTGATAGCTAGGCTGGCTTCTTGTTAAAGAGCCATAGTAGGGATCTATGGTAAATAGTATGATTTCCTCACTATGGTAACTTACATCAAATCCCTTATCAAGAACCCAGCTAGGCATCAGCTTGGATCCCTGCGCTTCATCCCCTTGATCATCGGTAGCAACTCCACCTTCTACTTGGAGGTGCACAGCTCTGCTGTGGGGTTTCGGGGTTTGCGGGGAAGGGACTCCAGCAAGTTGTAAGGCTTGGATTTCTGCGGTAAGGGCAGGTTTGCTTGTGCTTTTGGGAAGTTGAGATTTATCTCGACCGCCCAAGCCCCACGCTGAGTTGAAAGCGTCTCGTCTCAATCCAAGTCAGCGAATCGAAGAGCCTGACCAAGACTAAGAGGGCTTTTGGCATGCTGCTGTAGCTCGGCATGCAAACTTCGCTTGCAGCATGCATGCTTCTGAGGGTGTAGGGACATCCTCCCGTTCGGACACCTAAATGCATGGAGCGATGTATAAGCCGGCAAAATTCGAAACACCAAGCCCTAAACCTTGAACCCTATTGCATCTTACTTTCTTACTTCCGAGGCCTTTATCTTCGGAGCAGGAAAGGCGCCCGATTCGGCTCCAAACCGAGCGCCGAAGCCCTGAACGTGATGTAAGGATAGTAATCTCGTCGGAGAAATCCACAAAGCGCGAGCCAGGCCTTCACGGAGGTTCCTGACCCAGAGGAGCTGGCTTCCTACAATTTGCATTTGTTTGGTGTCATGTTTTCGGCTTTGCAAGGGCCCGGGACTTTCGTGTTCAGTTGCAGTCAAGCTTAAAGAGATGACTGGCGTATGTTCCGTATGGTCGTGGCTCGTCGTTAAATGTCGGGGTTGGGGGTACATGAAACCCCAAACCCCTAGGCCCTAAACCGGAAGCCATTGTTCTGGTGGAATCGCACTTGAAATTTTCGTGGCCTATGACTTGAGAGCAAGCCCAGGCCCACACCCCCCCCACACCCGCAGACCTCGAAAGGGGTGGAGGGCTTCAGGGCTTAGGTGGCCACGGGTTCAAGGCTCAATTAGGGTTTTTTGGGGGGTTTTGGGGTGCAGATAATTCGGGCTTACAAGAGTTATAGTTTTTAGTTTAGGGAACCCAGAGAGCCCAATACCCCGTAATTAAGGAATATAGCTTCAATTATATTATGCGCCCCCTTATAGTTTAAGGTATATTCCTTAATTAGGGGGTATTGGGCTCTCTGGGAACCTCTCGATGCTGCAACACCCCCGAGGAGACAGAGACCGGGGATGAGGAAGTGCCAATCAGCAGAAACAGACAGAGGCGGCTGACGAACAAGAGACTCGACTGCGCTGTTTCGGCTTATGAAGAGGACTAGAATAGGGCCTATGCAGGTATGTAAGTAGGTAAGCTAAGTATGTATGTGTCTACGCATATAGAAATATGTATCAATATGGCTGCATATACACCTACATATGTTTTCATATAAACTTAGCATATGTAAATTACATTCGTTTTTCTAGGATTGCACGAGCTGCCGCTTGTGGGCTTAGCAGTGAGACCTAAACTGATTCGACTTGCAGAGTGTGTGAGGAAGTAAGAGCTGACAGGATTCTATATACAGTCCGTATGATCGCCCGGACATTCCTTACAGTAACTCGCCCCGCAGAGTGTTAGTCCACTATTTGGTGAGTCGGGACTGGGGAATCGCGGCATACTCGAAGGTCCATGACTGCCCGACATATGTATGTAAGTATGTATGCATGCATGCATACATGCGTGCATCCGTGCATGTATTCATTTGTGTATAACAGTGGCGAGACTGCGGCCTTGAACAGGAAGCCTACCTCTGGAGACCTACCAGAAGAAACCCCATGATGTCAATTCGCAAGCTTGAACAACTGCCAATGCAATGCTAGTCTTTTAGGGTGCCAAATTTGATTTCGGCTTATTATCCCACACCCAATATGACCCACAATGCCAAGGTATGATGCTGTAACTTCGGGTGTAGGGTACCTTATAGCTAGACTAATCTACAATAATAATAATCTATAGTGGTAGACCAGTATATCATTATACATGGTCTTGCAACGCTGTGGTTTGAGCGTATGAGTCTTTAAGCCCTACAGCTGTAAACCCTGAACCTAAAAGCGTTTCCGTGCCTGTGCGAGAAGAGTCCTTCAACCACAACCCTGAACCACACACTTCCCCAATGCCTCATGAAACCATAGGCCCTAAAGCCTCATGTTACGCTAGCTCAGATGGTTCAGCAGACATCAAAAGGAAGCCAAAGAAGCCAAACCCTTAAGCCCTGAACCCTAAAAAACCCCAACCCCCCGAAGCCCTAAACCCTAACAAAGCAAAACCCCAAACCCTGCCTTTCAAACCTAAGTCTCTGCAGACCTCGTCTGGTTATGCCGAGTCTGAGCATCAAAAAGACCCTCAAACAGCCAACACCCCTAAACCCCAAACTATGTGGAGCCTTGCCTGCCTTGAGCGAGAGTGAGCGTCGAAACCCTAAACTAAATCTTAACATAGCCAGAACTCTAAACAAGCCAAACCGAGCCCTTTCGGAAGCCTTCCCCTGTATGTATGTTTCCTATAGAGGTACCGATTCATACATATGTTTAGGGGCCCCCAAACTACAACCCAAAACCCTAAACCCTAAACCTTAAACCCTAAACCCTAAACCTTAAATCCTAAACCCTAAACCCTAAACCTTAAATCCTAAACCCTAAACACTAAACCTTAAACCCTAAACCTTAAACCCTAAATCCTAAACCCTAAATCCTAAACCCTAAACCTTAAATCCTAAACCCTAAACCGTTTCGGAAGCCAGAGGATCGCCATGGCTTCCGCCAGCATCGAGGATCCTGCTGGGCTTTTGGGGGTCTGGGGAAGCGAAGGGGTTTATCTTACCTTTGGTTACCCTGAGACTCCAAGTATACACATAGTACCTACTTTGGGGTCTAAAGCTTATAAATACTACCTACTTTGGGCTATTTGGAGTCTTAGGGTTAGTAGGGAATGGAAGAATGGTAGTAAGAGTAGTTATTATTGTACCTCATTCCTTCATTCCCTCCGTAGTAACCTTTGTCATAGTTGGGTAGCATTTTACGACTTTATGGGTACTTAAACCCAACAAGGAATAAACAAAACAAATTTTTAATCCTATCCCAACCATGAACTAGTTTGGGGTCTGGGCAAGCGCAGGGGTTTATAGGATGTCTGAGGGTTTTAGGGTTCTTAGGGCTTACGATGTCTGAGGGTTTTTGGGGTTCTTAGGATTTAGGGATTTCTAGGGTTTGGGGGTTTAGGGGTTCAGGATGTTTCAGGATTTAAGGGATTTTAGGGTTTGGGATGTTTCACGGTGTAGGGGTTTAGGGGTTTGGGTTTTCGGGTTTGAGGTTCAAAGGCTCTGGATTATGGGAAAAGGGTTTGGGATTTTTGCGTTTTGGGGTTTAGGACTTAGGATCTACACATAGGGATTTGGGTGAAGGACCTGGGCTTTGGTATAATGTTTAGGGAAAGGGTTTCGGGTCTGGGAGTATTCGGGAGCCTGTGGGTTAGTCTAGCGGTTGGCGCCCAAAGTTTAGATGAAGCTTTAGTGGATGATGGCAGCGCCGTCCGACTCAGTCTCGGGTGATGGATAAGCCTAAGCCATTTACAGGTGGGTAGTTATTAGGTGGGTAGTTTCCCATAAGCCTCCCATACCACTCCTATAAGGTAAAGGGGTCTTATGGGAGTACTATGGAAGAGGAACTACCCACCTGTAATGGGCTTCTAATAAGATCTTCAACCACGCAGACATTTGGATCCCGACTTTCTGTTTTGGGGCCTTTCGAGGCGGCCAGCGTCAGGGCCAGAGTAGGGTTTTTGGCATAGGGGGTTAGGAGTCTTCACCGGGCCATTTCTTTCTTGTACATTCACCCTTTCAGTGAGTTTCTGTCCCTAGATTGCTCCTATGTAAATATATCACAAGATCTCACCAGAACCCGTTCGCGGGCTTGGACGTTGAGATTTGGGGTGCAGGGGCTTTGGGATGTGAAGGCCTTGTGCTTAGGGATTCCCTTCAACTACATCCTCGAGGCCCTGACATATTTCGTGTGTGCACGGTTGGGTTTAGGGTTTAGGGTTTATAAGGGGACATGCATTTCGAGCCTGGAGGTGGCTGTTTACACCATAGAAGCGGCCGTCGGCTGATGTTTTACGCTTGGACGCTCAAATCTGAGGCGCTCTGCCGTTCTGGCTCAACCAGCGACAGTCCAGTCATCCGATGGGGCAGTTGAGGCAAAGTTGTCGTGGGGCTCCCCTGGCCCCAATCCCCCAAGTCCCAAGCCCCAAGACAGCATCCCAGCGCGTCGCAAAAGCGAGAAAGCGAGAGTAACCTACACGATCCTCAAAAACTCAAGCCCCCCCCCCCCCACCTCACTTAGATCCTCAAGAATGCTTAAGCTGCGGATATCCCAATCCAGCTCCGAAGCCTAGAGCTCTATTGGCTGCCCAGAACATGTCAGTGTGCGCGAACTGCTTCCTACTGGCGCTTGGCTTCCTCTGCCATCTCCACTTGAAGGCTTCCACTGGGCCTAGGGTGTTACCACAAAAGGCAGGCCTCTTTAAAGCAACGAGCTGCTGTACATCTACTTAGGTTCCCCAGAAGTACCCTGATTTCCCTTCACTTATTCGGGTCTTGTTTGGGGGAGGCCTCGGCTGGACATATAATCAAAGCAGCTGCGATCTACGTACCCTAGAGGCCCAGCTGCCAACATGGTCGCATACTCTCTCGTTTTGTGGCCACAGTAAGCATAACTCGTCAACTACATATGTAGCTGGGCTTCTATAGGGTTAGGCCGTATTAGCAACGCCTGCGCAGTGCTGAGCCTCTTGCCCTAAGCGAGGCCACAGACCCTAAACTTTATAATTTACACCCTAACCCGAAGCCCTGATCCTGAAACCGCGAAACCCCCGAACCTCAAGACCCTAAATCCGAAAATCCAGAACCCTAAAGCAGCCGTGCCTCAGTAGTGATACGATGGACTATGTCGAGCCTTGCCTTCCTTGTGCGAGAGTGAGCGTCGCAAGCAGCGAAACCCTGCTCAGGGCTGCGGTAGCTACGAGCAGGACTCCTGGGCGTTTAGTCTCCCTGCAGACGTCAACACTACGAGCAGCTTGGCTTGTCTTCGAGGTGGGGCGTAGGGCGCCCTGCTCGGCGCCCTAGGATTAGGGATTTAGGGTTTGAGGTTTCGGGTTTAGGATGCGGGGTTTCGGGTTCGGGATTGGGTCTTGATTGGATACACGATCAGGATGGGGCGTCAAGGGGTATCTACGCTGATATGTACATATATATATATATATATACATCATACCTGCCTAGCATGGAGGTCATTGGTCTGCTAGGCTGGTTTGTGCAGCTTCGGGGGGGGGGGGGGGGGGGAGGTCTTGTTTTGTGGGTAATTTCGGGGCTCCTTATGTTCTGATAGTATAATATACAGCAAAACCTATTTTTTCTTATTGTTAAGGCCCTGTATAGTAAGCCCCTATAATACCCCTTATAGTTATCCCTATAGACCCTTTTAGGGACCCTATGTTAGATGCAGCGGTCTGGGGAAAGGCTCTCCTCACAAGCACTTGGCCCATGCCCGGGATTCTGTTGGTTAGGGTTTAGTGTTCGGGCCTAAGCTCAATGTGTTCATGTTTTTCTGTAGGGGAAGCGGGGAGCAGTTTCGGATTGTTGATCGTGGTGTTTTGATGCGTGACAAGACAAGCCCCCTTCGCTGAGTTCAGATCTTGAGGATTGCAGGATCCTGCGCCATGTGCATTTAGGGTTGGATAGAGTTCTAAGTTTACGAGGTATCGGTTTGGGCCGGGTTCATGTTTAGTTTTGGGTAACTATTGGTAATAAATATGTCGAAATCGATTATCAACCAACAGTGACTTTTGGGACTGGGTTTTCGGCATTTTCAGAAGGGGAGCTTGCCAAAAGACGCTCGAGGATAGAAACGGCTACTATACGGACCGAAAAAGTTTGCAAGAGTACAGCCTTCCCTTATAGTCCCAAATATGCTTGTACTAATTATTTCATACCCCAACACCCTGTTCTCATTTTTAAGGCCCCTGTATTGACGTTTTGGGTCCCGAAGCCACCAGTAAATCCTGAACTCCTCAACATACTTGCAGGGAGAGGAGTATATAGATTGAGGTGCATGCAGTGGCCCCAGTACTATAGGTGCCAAAATAATTACCAATACTATTGGGGTTCCTGATTCTGAATACAGTACAATATACCCTAGGACCCACTTCTGATTATTAAGGCCCCCATATTACGCCCAGCCTGTTCTGCATACCAAGAGACCAAAACCCCGGATCTAGCAACCTGTGAGGCCAGTGAAGAATCAAATCTTGAAGATCCATAAGGTATGTCTACCCATAGGCCCCATAGTAGTTCCTTTTTGGGGATTGTCTTCTAGGGTTCTAAATATGAACCCCCAAAAGGAATTACTATGGGGCTTATGGGTAGCCATAAATAACGTCGCGGATCACAAATCCAACGCACTTCCCAGGCAATCTCAGTCTGGGGATCCGGCTTCCTGGCAGAAGTCGCCCTGGTGCCCTTTTCCCTGGACCCTAAGCTACCGTACACCCATAGCCCCCTGTTTATTTTGAGATCTTGCACCCTCAGCCCTCAAATCTCTAGGTTCCCCCCAGCAGTACCCTTATGTCATGTTGGTTTGGAGTTTCCCTCTAAGAATTGCACAGTAGGAAGACGGTTCCCCGTACGTTTGACAGGTTGCTGTGCAGCGTGGCGACAGCTTTCAGGTCTGTAGGCTCTCAGACGAAAGAACAAAGGGCCCGGAAGAAGTACAAGTAACGTCACCTTCTATGTATTCCTTGTTGCAGGCACAGTAGAATGTGCCCGAAACCTTATTCTATGTACTGAGGACCCTAAGTACGGAATGCACGACCTTTGTCGATTCTCACTTGGCGATGCAAGCTAGGATTTACGGAAGAGGTTCGATCTTCACGAGGAGTTTCATTAATATATTTTTCCTTTCTGTGCGGCCCCGTGGAATCACAAGCCAGCAGGCCTTCTTTACAGTCACTGGCAGTACGGCATCGCGGGTGTGTGATGCGTGAATGTCGGGCTATGATATGTTACATGCACCCCAACTGCACTCGAGATGCATTGGACGCAGGCTATAGGACACCGTGAACCTCAGAGAAGGGTGAATCACATCCTTAGTGCCTAAGACCGCGCTCCACCAGGTTTTCAGATGTCAACCCTCCTGCGAAGTTTCAAGCGCCGGACTATAGCGACTTCTCAGGACGACCCCCGCGATAAAGATCCAGCGCGTCCACTTCGGCTGTGAGGATGGCGCGTGCCACAGTCGCATTCAGTTTCATTTTTCGCACAAAGTACGCGCACAGTCTTTTCAGTTTGTGTGTGCATAGCTGGTTGTGTGGACTCATCTCTTTTTCTTGTCCCTCCTCGAGCTGCTTCCATGAGTTTATGATAACCACGGCCACGACGACCCTCGGCTCATCTTAACTACCGCAACATCAAGAAGTTATTGCTTTCACGCTGTACTATGTTTCCCTGTGCCACCATCAGAAGCGGCAGCAGCGTGATAAGTAGGCTTTGAACTCAGAAAGCTATAGTCATAACTTATAACCCATCTTACAGGACTTATACAACCCCACTTATATCTACCCACCCTAAACTCTATAATAAAGCCTAAACCCTGAGCGCCGAAACCCTACATGACCCTGAAACCTACTTATCAACCTCCAAGCACCCACCGCCTTCCTCAGACTCTACGCCGTGCATCTGCAGAATGGCTCCTTAGTTTGGAAGTTCCAGACAGGCCAGGG